GGAGAATGCAACCCTAACCTAGATTGCATCCACCAGGGAAACAACCCAGCTGCTGAGCCAAGGGAGGTCTGGGGTGCAGGACTTCATTCACACCATGAGCCAACATGTGCATCCAGGGTATGGACTCAGATCTGCTTGTGGAGTCAGAGTATCCATTTATTAAGGCAAAAAAAGAATGATAACCACTTGTCTGAGCTCCCTGATCATTCACTGCACCCTAAGAAGAGGATTTCAGGACCATTCCCCATGTTATGTACGGCTGACAGGGAAATTCACCGCAGCATCACGAGGAAGAGGCAGGGATGCTCACACGTACTGGCAGATCTAAGGGCAGGACCAAGCAGCGGCACACGACACGGACTGCGCTGATGAGAAACTCTGGGCTGTAAAGCAATGGGGAGAAGAACACGGTTGGAAAACCAGCCACTCGCAAAAGCAAGGTGGCTCTCTGAATGAATGTCACAGGTGATAACTGGCAGGTGGGCGCTGTGGCACAACGGAGCGGCTGGTAAACACACACACAAAGCAAATCCAACAAAACAGGGAAGGGGGTTTTATTCCAGAAATTATCAAGATTCACTCAAAAACATCCTTTGTGCGAGGCAGCTGCAGCACATTCCCTCCTCTTTGGCACTTGCTATGGTCACCTCAAGGATACGTTTATTGTTACAACCCAGAAAGAACAGCTGCCCAAGGTCTCTCTCGGGAAAAGGTTACCTGAATTAACTGTTAAATTAGAAAGTTGCTGCTGTCTCTAGCTCAGCCAATTAGTTCAAAAGCGCTGCAATAAATTAGATTTTTTTGTTTTGTACCGTGCTGTTTATAGAATTTGCTACAAAGCAAAATATAATTACTCGAGAACTTAGCACTGTTGCTAAAGAAAAGAATCAAAGAAGATGGAGCCAAAACACAGCGGGCAGCTCTCAAGGTGAGATGGAAACCAGCACGCGGGGGAGCAGAAGGCTGGGAGGAGGGTGCAGGGAAGACTGGGAAGAGGAGCTCTCCCACTCACCAGAGCCCAAACCAAGCCCAGGGAAGGCTGCGCTCAACCCTCCTGGCTTTGCTTGTCCTTCAGGCTTAAGAAGCTGATACCCAGTTGGCCCCCAAAAGTGGAAATACCAGTAGCTAAAGGTTTTTCAGGTCACTGTGAGCGGGGTGCAGGTGCTCTCTGTGTCATTCTTTAGGGCTCTGTCAGGGGTGACTGGAAAATAAACATTTTGCTGTAAGGCTTAAGTTTGTGAGGCTTTTTGAGCTGCCCTTGGATAGCACAGAGCGGAGAGGCACACGCTTCTCTTCCCAGCGAGGCCTCAGAGGTTTCAAAAGCACCTCGCCTGTAACTGCAGAAACACTCCAAACCCAGGAACCCACTGCTGGTCTGCAGGGAAAAAACAGGGTGTGGGGTGGGAAACAACCTGAAAACCTAATAGTAGGTTTTTAAGACACGGAGGTACCCCAAAGTGCAAGAGCTCCTCTCTCTGTAATACCTTAATTTACCACGTAAATCACAGCAGACATACAAACTGCAGTTTCCTCTACCTAAAATCCCTTTTCCAACCTGAATTCCTGGCCTTAAGAGCTTAAATCTTGACCTACTACTCACGAGGCACGCAGGTGCCAATCAGTGATTCTTCGTAAATCAAGGAGCAGAGGCTACAAGGAAGATGCATTATTTCACTGACATTTCCAGACTCTTTCACACAGGCTGGCATTTCAATATTGCCGTTTAAAACCACTAACGTGAGCATTGTTTTAAAACCTCAAAACTCACACCTAGCAGGACACAGCAAAATAAATCATAATTCTTAATGATTTTTATTACTGTCTTCCTGCCACTTCTTCACTTTAAAAGATACTTTTGATTTTGTGTTTACTCACTACAGTTTGATTGCTCCCAGAGCACAAGTTTTTTGCAAACAACATACAATGACAAATTTTATTCTCCACTGGAGCCTGAAATTCAGAATTAAATGTAATAAAAATAAATTTATTTTTTATTAGTTATTTTAGTACCAAATATAGATCGCTTCCAAACAACACCTTCTCCTAATAGCTTTGGAAAGCAAAGCAGCTGTTGAACTCCTCCTGGGCCAGTATCAATCTATTCTTGTTACTAATGCTGTTATTTAAATTATGCACCAATAAGTTAGGTGGCAATCTGTTTCCTTTCTTTCCCTGGGCCCTTCACCTTAGAATGGAAAAAGAATGTTTTGCATTCAAGGATTTGCTCAGGCATGGTTGCCAGCAGCAACAACCAAGACTGCAACTGTAAATAAAGCAACTTTAAGGTGAATTGAAATAAAAATAATGCCAGGTATCCCAGTTTTCTCTGCTCCTTTACAGCTGCTCCCATAAAACACAACATGACAAAAGCAAGCAACAGTTTCCTAACTATGCCCAAGTTTTCAGCAATGAGACTCTTCATTTTGAAACGCTGATTTAAAACGCTTTGGATCTCTTGCACGTGCTGATGTTAACCCTGTGCGCAGCGTGAACCACCTGGTGAGGAAAGCCCTGCCCCAGCCCTCGCCAAGAGCAGCTCCCGCGGAAGCGAGGGACACGCGAGCATTCGGGACTTCAGCAAACACAAGCGAAGAATACGCAAAAAGACCAAACTCCTCACAATCAGCCTAACAAGCAGCTGCTCCACCAGTTGCCTCCCTAGCACATTACTATAATATTTTTATTGTAATTGTTCTTGGTGCTTCTTTCGTCCTGCAAAACAGTTTTGCAGAAAGGCAGCTCCAGTTAACATCCTCTGTTAACATCCACATAAGGCCTCCTGCCAAAGTTATTTCTCCAAAGGAAGAAAAATATGTTATTTCAAGTCAGGTTGAAAGGAAGGTGGTCTATAGTTCTGGCAGGTATCACAAAGATCCAGAAGAGGAAAAACACAGCCCTAACCTATTCTGGTGTAGCTTCCTTACCAAGCTGCATATGCCACTGAAGAACTTCATTAAATAAAAAAAAACAACAAAAAATCCCCACAGAACCAGAAACAACAGAAACAAAACAAACCAGCTGATCCACTTCCAAGATTTGCTCTTGCCTTTCTCAAAACGAGCATGACAGAGAACATGAGGCAGAGCATGGAGCTCCTTCTGGAGCTGTTAAACGCTTCTTGCCTGGATTGCCACAAGTTATCACCACGGGCTGCAACCTGCAGCAGCTTTGGTAACAATTCCACAGCGCTGTCTGCTCTACCTGCGATCTATTGTGTTTTTTCCCCCCCAAAAAGCATCCAGCTTACACTAGAGAGAAAACGTGTTGGAACGAGGCAATTGTACAACGCTTCTGAGGAGAACGTACGGTGCCTGGTACCACGGGCTGGCACAGCCTCACCTTTTTGTGAGCTACCAGGAGGCAGTTCGAGTGTTCGTGTTCGCACGCGATTTCATAGTCGGGGATGAGGTCGGCCAGCTCCTGGACGAAGCGCACCACCTCCTCGTGCCAGGGGACGTTGGCCATGGTGAGGTTGCTGGCGGAGCTTTCACCGCAGTATGTCACACCCTGAGAAAAAAAAAACAAAACATAGAGTCCATCACTGTCAGCATAACCCTTCGCAAGGACGGGGCAGTGTCGGCATATCAGCTGCAGCAAACCCTGAAAATGTCTGGTTTGTCCCCCTCTTCGCACTGTATCTTATGGAAAGGTAACTAATCCAAAAATCAGTCTCTTGGTGACACCAACAAAGCACTGCGTACCCAGGCTTTTCCAGCAATAAAACACAGGTTAGTCTTTATCCTGGAAAGTAGCTTTAAAAGGATTCAAACAGAGGATATGCTCGTTGAAACCTCATCCTCCTAAGCCAGCCTGTTTCACCTCTGCTCTGCTGCTCTCCAGGCCAGCACTGTTCCTCCGCCTTCCAGTTAGGACAAGAATTACAAAACTACAAAAATTTCAAGGCTAGAGGAAGGTGCTGCTCTTTGTTCTTCGTTTGCTCCTTGGGAGGCAGAAGTGCCCCAGTCGCTCCATGATGAGGCGACGGTGGCGCAGACCACGAGAACTGGTTTGCTGCTGGCTCTGCTGCCACCTCCAGCAATTCAAGGTTCCACCAAGACTCTCAACACTGGCATGAAAGGATGTTTAAAGCCTCACATGGCCAAGTGCTTCTAGAAACCAGGAGAAGAATTCTGCTCAATCTTCCCCATCTAGATAAAGAAACACAAGTCACCAGTTGCCACGATTATTCTTTAATTCTCTGGCTCGGTACCAACAGCTCTGTTCTTTAATAATTATTTTTAACCGTAGCTTTTTTCTCTGCTTTTTTTAATCCTTTTTTAAAAAAAATTTTAAAAATTAAAAGCGACTGAGGACATTTGTCCAAATTGCTCAATATCCTCCCTGGATAGAAGGCCACGAGTTAGATACAAAAATAACATCGGCACAGAAAAGCCAGTGCAAACACAGTCAGTAAACATGCAGCTAATTTTTCAGAGCTGAGTACACAAGCAAGTGCCCAAAAATATAAAGGAGTTTGTAAATACTCCCTCCAGCTCATCTTGCTCTTACTATCCTTTGCTTAAATTAATTCAGCAAATTCTGAGAACTCTTGGGGAAAGTCCATCTTTGCCTGCACCTCGTGCACACGCAGAGCGAGGCTGAAAATCCAGGCTGAAGTTGGCGCTTATTGTTTTCTGATGAGTGGAATGGACTCGATGGCACAAAAAAGCAGCTTGTGTCGTTTTGGTCAAAGGTCACCAGAACAACTGAGGAATTTCTATAATCCCATCACTCCACAAAGAGTCTTGAGCTGCTTTCTGAAACGCTGTGAGCTGAAGTAATCACCTCAGGGCAAACATCCTCAGAAAACATTGGGGGATTTTTTTCTTTTTTAAAATCAGATTGATGTGCACTGATTGCAGATCTCCCTCCCGATGCTGTCCGCCAGCCCGAAGGCCAGCACCATCGCTCACACAATCCCACCCCCTCAGAGCCCCCATCGCTCCTAATCTCCCCTGTCTTAGCAGAAGAAAAGGTCACACAGTGTCAACACGTTGTATCTGCACCCAAAAAAACCCCACCCAAACAACAAAACAAAACCTACCAACCCCCAAACTAGTCCATGGGGTAGGATGGAACAGGCTGTCTAGGGAGGTGGCTGAGTCGCCATCCCTGGATGTGTTCAAGTGTCGTTTAGGTGGGGTGTTGGGTGATATGGTTTAGGGGTGACCTTGTAGTGTAGGGTCAATGGTTGGACTCGATGATCCCAAGGGGCTTCTCCAACCTGAATTGTTCTATGATTCTATGAAATACCCGTGCAGGCTGATGTGACAAGTGCTAAGAGCATCCCTTGGACAGAGCACGGAGAGAAGCTTCCCACGCACATCGGTCTGCAGAGCTCTGTAGCTCGCTAGGGTGAAGAGGCACGAGCACGAGTCTTTGGGGAAACAGCTTTTGTGATGGCTTTCTGGTAGCACTCTCAAAACTAGTCACTAATTTAGAAGTTGAAGACGCCTTCATCACAGATTTAATTGTTTGAACCCAGCAGAGGCGCTGGGTTCTCGCTCCAGCTCCCTTCCCAGTCACAAAACAGCCTCTCTAGATGGTTTTCCCCACCTTTGCTCTTTGGCTATTTGATTCCAGCCACAAAATCCCATCAAGCACCGGTCTACATGAAAAGAGCACACGCAATTTTATGGATGATCATGTTTTGCATTCTCCCATTCTTGCTCTGTGGAGAACACTTCTACTTTTTCCAAGCACCATTTGCATCTTCGCTTCAGTTACAGAACCCGGTCCCAGCCGCCGCTGCGCTCCTCAGACCTAATCACCGGCATTCCAGTCGAACACGTCCAGCAATAAACCGAGAGAGATCCTCTGCAAGCACTTCAAATTAGAGCCAGGCAAACAACGTAGCGCTTAAATAGGGCTACAAAAGAAATAGACTCATGCTAATTAGAACCTGTACAGGGTCTGGAAGCAATTGCTTTCTCGCTGGTAAATTTATGAGAGGCCTCCTCTATTAATCTGCCCAAGCAAAGGATATTAGAGTCGTGCACCGTAATTCAGAGCCGGCCTGGAAACAGGTTGACTGTGCACAACCACAGACAAGCCAGGGGAGTGCTAAACAGGGAAGTACATTAATTTTTGAGCCTGGCTCCGAGAGCCTGAAAAAAAGATTTTAAATGTTCTTATATTAGAGCAGCCAGCCACGCAAATAATGGGATATGTATCTCCCAAGTTCAGCTGTATAGAGGCAGCTCCATATAGCAGTATTTTCCCCGCGTTCATTATCCAGATTATGATTTGAGCGTCATGAAAAATGTATGACTACAGAGGGGGAAAACTCTTAGGAAGCTACAACATGACTCATTCTTTTAATAAACTTCAAAGATATCACTTACAAGCAAAGAAAGTGCAGAGGCAAATGGAATAACTAAGTGCTCGAACGGCTGATTAATTCACAGGCACAAATCAATGAAAATCAGCTTAGCGGCACACCGAATGAAAGCACGTCAGCTTTCAACTTCCCCAACTTCTTAAAACTTGAGTTAATTAACACTGCTGTTACCACTTAAAAATGTGAACAAGTTGATTAGGGCAGCAACGTTATATTTTTCAGTAATACACAAAGACAGTTATTAAGACATGGAGCACTAAAAAAGGAAACCATCCCACTGCACACCCTAAGCTCTTACACCAGCCTCCCTGCAGCAGCAACACCAACGACGCCGTCACTTAACTAATCTTTAATAAGGGTACTTTTAGCATCCTAATCATGCCACGTAGCTTTGGCCAAATACCTTGAAACCTTTTGGAAAGCATCTCAGCGACTCGTGGTTACGCCGGTACAAATCCAGAGCGACTGCGCCAGGCGTGCTCTGGATTTCCACGCCGCCGTAATGGAGCCAAGCGTGTGCAGCTGCATTTAAGCGACGCCTTGTGCCGAGATGATTATCACTGCAGCGAGCGGCACGTTTCTTCCACCGCGATCCGGCTCCTCGCTGGAGATCCTGACAGCCAGCAATCATTTTAATCCATGGGACTACAAAGGAAAGATTACTGGGGAACTAAGTATGACAACGCTCTGTTTCTCAACTCTGAAACTCCAGCCTTCCCAACTTAATTACTGAGAGAATTTTCTCAACTCCTAGCCCACAAATTATAAATTTGTTTAATTGAGGATTGTGTGAATTAACAGAACAAAGTGTCAGCCAAGCTGCTGAGTGACAGAGCCACCGTTTAAAAACAGGGGCAGCCCTGACCCAAGACAAATATAAAAAGCCTCAAATGACATTTGATAGATTGCACACTCTGCCATAAAACTGCTTACGGTACGAGCACCAGCATTGTCCAAATTATATACACAAGCTTTCATGCACGCCTGCTCCTCACTGGAATGGATTCGGGCTCATCGGTTGTTTTTAATAAGCGCTTTGAAGTTGATTTAACAAAGGACATCGGTTCATTTGTGTCAGTTCGACAGGA